AACGGCTGCTAGAGCAGGCTTTAAAGGAAACCCACAGCATTCTGTAATGTACTGCACTGGATGATGTCCATGCTTCATTATTGCATCTCAGAAACAAATTCTCTATAACTTGACATAATTAAAAATTAAAAAATGGGGAAGGAAAAAAATCTAAACATGAGTAATAAAAGCTTGTTTCCTGATCTGACGTGGTTCTTTCATGATACTGTCTCTCCATCTACTCCTGGTTACCTGCTGCTCTGCAAGGGGTTGTTAGCTCAGGTGGAGTAGTTATGTGAGCACAGGGAGACAACTTGGACCACTGGGTACTGTGACTTTTTTTTAACTTTCTTCTGTGGAATCATACCTGGCTTTACATCATGGTTGTACTCACGTTTGACTGTACCTACTGAGATCCCAAAATGAGGATTCCTCTTACCTCATTAGACCTGACCATGTGTGTGCACAACACATGGGAAGAAGAAGAGACTGGGGATTGCCAGTAGCCTGTATTCTTAGTAGAAACCTTATCTCCTGACTGAAAAAGCAGCACAGTATTCTTTTGACACTACTCTCTCTCGCCTTCAAATGAAAGTGTTGGAAAGACAACTTCTACCCACTCATTTTAATACATTTTAATTTTCTACCTTACTTTGCCACACTTATTTAAGCTTACTCCACAAGTCCTCCCATTGATGTTATTAAAATGTCAGCATACAGTGATCAGGCTACTTTGAAGAACTTTCCTGGAAAAAAAAAAAAAGGAGCAATTTTATCTGCATTTTATCATCTCATGCAGATAAAAAAAAGCCCCTTCAAATAAATGCCCGATAGAACAGGTATCATAAGAAATTATGTGGGCAGATAACTATGTTAATTTGCTGTCATGATTATTATTGCCTTTTACTAGTCCTAAACTGTTGCCTATGGAGACAGACAAGTAATTTCCCCTTCACAAACATGAAATACTCTTCATGTTAATAGATTTCTAAAATAGAGGTAGTCACAATACAATAAATGTTGCAAGCAATGCATGGCTGTCTTTTGGCTCACAACAGAAATTAGTATCTGTGTGTCACAAGAAGTGTGGCCTTGGTACAGTGCAGAACACTGTGTGTGACTACATCAGACAGCTGGGAAAGGGTTTTTTGCATAAGATATATATGTAGCAGTATTAGCTTCATGACGTTTTTCATAACATTCCTCTATCTTCTATTGTTTACAATTCTCCATTGCTATGTCACATTTCTCATCAGATTGCACTACTTTCGAGACTGGGCTTGTGTCTAGCTGATGCATCTCTAAGGTATCTATGATACCACAGGGATGTCATAAGTACCTATTTTTAATCCTTTCTTCTCCCTAATCATACTCTCATTTCTGTTTATTAACTGCCACTCTTCAGAAATCCTGGTCTTGAAGATTTGTCACTTCCCTGTTTCTCTGTGGTGTTATATGCTACCTTCAATTCAAGCAACTAAATTAAGTCAGGGGCACCCAGTTTCTCATTCTGGGTTTTCACCTACTGCTTCAAGGCAGAAAAAAAGAGCAGTTCTCCCCAGTCTGCAGCTGTCAGCTAATTATCTCTGGTCTGTCAGCAGAAAATTTAAAGAAATACTCTTCTTTTCTCCTTTTCTTTTCTTTTCTTTTCTTTTCTTTTCTTTTCTTTTCTTTTCTTTTCTTTTCTTTTCTTTTCTTTTCTTTTCTTTTCTTTTCTTTTCTTTTCCTTTTTTCCTTTCCTTTTCTTTTTCTTTTTTCTTTTCTGCCACAGTCCAAGTGTTCTCCATTTAATTTTCAGTTTAACACTACTGACTTCAGAATCTGTACATAATAGAGGAATTTAGTTGGGTAGGGTATGATTCACCTCACTTTTCTCCCCAAGTGTCAGGTGGGGAATTCACACACCGCTTGAGTCTCTGGATTCCACTACAGAAGTCAGACACCTAAAATTTAGGTTTGAGCATTACCATGCCCACAACTCTTTTTGCATCTGAGGCACAAAGACCTACCTCAGCTGTGCCTAAAGCTGCTTTTCTCTCCCACACCCCTTCAGACTGAAGTTTCCTGCCCTACCTTAGCAAATAAATGGATGAAGGGCATTAAAGACACAGAGTCAGAGTCTCTCCTTCATTCGGATTATAAGTGTTCAAGATGGTGCCTCTGATTTTAGGGGAAATTCAGCCTCATTTCTGAGGATAGTTTTTCCAAAAGCAGGAGAAGTTTGATAAGAACTCTAGATATATTAACAAGATAAGAAGCTTATTATTCCTCTTCACAGCAGCAGGAAGGAATTAAAAAAGCAATTAGTTCAATAGGTGACAGTTTCCCTTAATGACCCACGTAAATATGAAGTAATAAGGTCATCCAAAGTTTACACCTGTGCTATTTAAACACACTGAAAGAAACGTATGGAGCAATGCTGAATTCTCTGTTGACCTAGCAGCAATTTTATTCATGTTACCATGGGGAATACACTGTCTATTAATTAGTTAATATTTTTTGCATTAGTATGTAAATAGACATTTCTAGGTTAAATCAATCATTCGTCAAAGACCTGATGGGTCGGCCATGTCCTTGTCAGAGAAAATGGTTAACACTGCATTAAACAGCTAAAAATTTTTGTCTCTGTTAATGGAAAAGAGATAGAAATCTGTACAAATCTCATGGACAGATAATTCTAAAATAACAAGACAAACCAGGAAGGCTTTTGTACACTTCATTTCCACCTTGTAGTGGAGAACTGAAAGCAGTTGTAGACACCTAAGAAACTAAAGCCCATGGAAAAAACATATGGTACAGGATCTATCATGTGACTGCCTGGATGCAAAATACTGAAGACATCTGAAAATGTCATCTGTGGATCTTGACTGTTGGTGGGAACATCTCTCACCCAGAGCTAAGCTTTTTGAAGTGCAAGGCCTCAGCTGTTTCCTTGGCACTTCCTGCTGACATCCTTGTCTTTGATGCCAGCACCAGCTCTGCCACTTTTAGGATAAAGTACTTGTCATTAACATGAGGACAGATTTTTATGTAAATCTTAAACGATTTTTAACTCTTGTTCTGTTTTTTTTTCCACAGTTTGTAATGTCATTTGGCTTAATACATTTGGAACTGTGACTGTTATAAAATAAATTCCTCCAAGTACTCCAGTGGGATAGTATTTTCTTCAGCTATTGTACACTTTGCAAAAATTGTCCCCACTGCCTGACCATTTGGTATAAGCCAGCTTGTTCTGGCTCTTAGGGGTAGAAACTGCACAGGTAAGTTGATTTCACAGATATGTTTACAGCATTCTTTCTTTCTTCCTTTATTCTTGTTGAGAAAAAGAAGGCTATTGATTTCCCATTATTTCTTTTCCACTGTTCTAATTTTAAGCCCTTTTTGTTATATGAACCTCAGGAGGATCTAAAACCACAGTGCTGAAAGAGTTAAGCAGGTTTTAAGCAGAGAAAATATGTGTCCTGACTTGTTGACGCTTTTAAAACGCCATCTAAAAATCAGTGTAGAGGAGTCAGCACTGGCTCTGTCACTGAACATAGACAGCAATACTTTGCAAAGAGCACTTTATTGTTCCAGTACACTAAAAGTGTATTTTTAAACATCTGGAGCCATGAAAGCTGTTCAACTGAGACTGTTCATTACAGGAGGAGCAGGGATGGCAAGCAGCCATGGGATCAACAATGTAACACCTGGTTTCTGACCTAAAGTGGCTAAGAAACTGAAGATCTCATCATTGGCAGCCACAGCTTCCCTGCAACATGATCTCCTCTCTGATATATTTGTCTAGTGCTCTTTTTAGGCCTCCTGTAGGCTTTTGCTCGAGAAAAAAAAAAAAACCTCTGAATTCTTTCTTTCCCTGTAGAAACTAACTGGCAGAGAGATAAAAAACAGAGTATGAAAGACAGTAAATGGATCTCAGCAGGAGAAGCCCCGTTCCCCTTACAATGACCAGCCAGTGTGTCTGTTGCTCCAGCGCAGAAATTCAAGTCTTGTCTTTAAAATCACCAGGCATCTTCTAGACCTCATGGATTCCCTAATTTTTCCTCCAGTTCCATATTATAGCATTCACGCTTCCTGCTACAGGGGTCTAACCATATCAAATGTTTCTCAGTCTGCCAGAAGGCTTCCTTACAAGTACCGTATATTTGTTTCAGTCTTACACACTTCCATACATTTTTTGGTATAGACATGTACAAAGTCAGTGGGAATTATGTCTGTGTACGGCAGAGCTGAATGCAGCCCCAGATTTATTGTGTCATCCAGTATTTGTAACACAATAGCATTTGTCAAAGTGCCAATGTGAAGTGCAAGTGGATTTCAAACAGCTGTAGTGCTGCCATATGCTGCCCTTTGGTTAAGCCATGACTTAAAGTTCAGCTTCCCATTTAGAGCAAAAATTGACAGATTCATCTCTTTTGGATCTTCAGAAGCAGTCAGGCTCTTTGCTGTGCCTTTTCTTATCTAAATACATCTAATGGGCGTTGCTGACACCTCCCCCTGACCTTGGACCCAGCGGGTGCCTTGATTTCTGAAAAAAAAAAAACCTCCTCATGGAGTCCGCTGTCTACCATTAGTGAAGTGCGTGGGATCTCAGCTCAAGCCAAAAGCTCAGAGGACAGCTTACAAACAGCCACATTGCCAGTAAGACCCGATTTCCTACTTGGGACACGTGCTGAATTGGGACAATGTCAGAGACCTCAAACAAGATTTAAGCTCTACAGGTGGCCTTGCAGTCTCTTCTGAGACATGAGCCATACCTCCATATTAAAGGGGAATTCCCTAAATGTCAGGTTTTGGGATATCCTTGATCTACCTCTCTTATTTAACAACAACAGGATAATGCCTCTGCATGTAACCGGCAAGGCTGGGCGAGTAGTGTTACAGCCTGACTCCCTAGACCACTGGTTCGTGAATTTTAGTATACTAGAGGCTCTTCTGAATAATAGCAGTTCACCTACCAAAAGTGATAAAACGCCAAGAGAAATGAATGACAGACTCAAGATACCTGGCAGGGCACTAACCTGAAATCATAGATCCATACCTCTGTTCTGAGTCACGCTGGCTGTGTATGTAAACCTTGGACTCCTATGCCCCTGGTGAATGACCTAAACTGCGTGTTTTCAGAGGTGATGGAGATGGTGACAGTCTGGCTGCAAGCAGGGATCTTTAGTACGTGGGAAAGGACGCAGACTTAGCTCAAAGTGTGGTCTGTCTAAAAAAGATGGATTGAGAAATAAAGCAAATTGTTAGTACAGCAGTGATTCATGTGGTTTGTGAGGAAAAAAATGGGTTAATAGGCTTATTTGAAAACACAGTTTTATGCAATAGGTTGGAAGATACAACAACAGAATATTCAGAGAAATATTTTCCATTAATATATTATAAAGGAAACATCCTGATTTTGCTATAGAGAAACATAGGTAGAAACCTCTTAAGATTGGTGACTGCAGCCAAAAATATAATCCTCTCTTTCTGGATAGGATACCTAAGAGGTGCTGAGCAGTTTCAAATCCTACTACTATTAATGCAAGCTTAAAGTGCTTTATCACCATCCAAGATGTTTTACAGGAGTGGTTTCCCACAATGCTGTGGGCACAATAATTGGCCATGATGGCATCCAAACTGTTCCTCATGCAGTTCCTCTTCAGCTTTTCTAAGATTATCCTATAAGAAAAAGACAAGCAGTTTCAACTAGCAAACTATATATTACCTCTTTCTTTCTTTTTAAGGGACGAAGTAGAACTAAAAGAGAGTTCACAGTACAAAAATAATAATTTTGTTTGGGGCATGGAAAATTCACTAAATGGAAATAGACTGAGAAGCATGGGTACCATAAAAAAGAGAATGAGATGAATGAGTGTTATCTTTTTTTTTTTATAAGGTAGAAATATGCTAAGAGGTGATAGAACTTAGGAGCTGATTTCTCTGTCTCGGAAGGAATAGAGAAAGTTTCAAAGGTGGAAAGCTAAAAACTGATCAAAGAAAACACTCTTTTATATGATGTGTGACTGAACCATAAAACTCACCTCTACATAAAGACACTCAGGTCTGGAATTTACGGAGATTAAAAAAGATCAGAATTTCAACACTCATTAAGAGAGCTCAGAGCTCTGATTTTCAGAGCCTTTAAAATAAAAGAACTTGGTACACTCAGTGATACACACTTAAAATAGCTGGCAACGGATAGGATATTTGCAAGAGCCATTATTTCTACGGAACTTGGAAATGTTACTAAATGGGTCTTATATTTGATAGGGATTTAATTGCCACCTGATTTATGTCTGTCAATTGGTTGGTAATCAGAGGCCAAATTCTTCAGGGCCCAGAAATAAGTCAGCTGCATCAACAAAAAATTCCACTTCAGGCTTAAGAAGTCCCATTTGGATCAGACACTGTTCTAGAAGCCTGCAGTAACATTAAGTGGAGCCATCAAATAATAAATAGGAAGTATTCCTATTTATCCTTCACAGATCTCCTTCTGTGACCCAGAAACAGCCTCTACAGAGAAGCCAATGACTACCTCCGAGTCTGCAGAAGATGCTGCTGTGACAGTCACAGATGTTTATCCCTGCCTCCACGATTCTTACCACCTGTGAAACTTCCAAGGGTTTAATTAAGGCGGATCCTACTCATTGTTCCTTGCAAATCATGTCTGGCAGAGCGCTCAGCAGCGGGACAACAGATGAGCTAATGCATGCCAAAAGCCCCGGATCAACCTCCACGTGCTGTGCCTTCCTTACATGTTCAGCCCCCTTCCAAGAAATCTTTTGAATTCCAAGCAGTTGCTGTCACAGCCGTGTACACAAAGCTGAATGAATGAGCCTCATCACTTTCAGCTTCAGTCCTGTGTCTGACACACTTGGTGCCACAGCAAGAGCCGTGTGAAACTCCTGCCTCGTGCAACATGGAGCAGCTCTTCTCTTTGAGAAGGGGTAATCAAAGTGCTGGGGATTGAGACTTAGCCACCTCCTCTCCACCTCCCTGCAGAAGCCTGAACAGCCCACACTAATCCCTCACTGCTGGTGACCAAAAGAGGGAAAATAAAATCAGGCTGTCTAACTTTCGTGGCAGTGATGAGGCTTTTCTGGAGCAAGGTGTGCTGGTTTTGCAATCTGTTAGTAGCATGACACAGCTAAAATGCAACGGTAAGATATCTCTCAAAAAACTGATGCAAAAATGAGTCTTCCAAGACTCATCTGGATGCCTGTAGGTATCTATTAATGGTGTCTTGAGCGAGAGGACTCTGTGGAAACACTGCAAGTAGCCAGCTACACAGGGAAACAAAAGTGTTGGAAAACTTGATAAATATAGTTCTGATGCTATCTTTGAAATATTTAGGCTGGGTGAAAAATCTGAAGCAAAAACGTGCTGTTTTAAAATGCAACACTAGAACAGAGTGGAGGGAAACTGACAAAAGGGATTTATGTCTCTCCTGCAGGAACAATGTCTTAGTATAAATTCCTTGTATTGTGTGTAATCACATAGGTTACACCTACTACTGGTCAAAGTATCCAGACTTCTGTTTTATCACTGCTCATCAGAAGAGATCGAAAGGACAAAGCTACATAAAAAAGCCCCAAGCTGGCTGCCACCTGACTGGTGCACTGGCAGTAAAACCAACAGCACTTTCTGCTTCCTGCCTTAAGGAAATGAAACAAAACCAGATATTGTTTATTGCCAAAAATGATTCTGTCTTCCAAATATGCTCGTTCAATTTTGAGCTGCACATCAACAAGTGCTTCTTAATTCTGCTCAAATGATGCTTTCCAAAGTGAACTGCTTACACTTTTCTGAAAAGAGATTTTAACAGATTTAATAATTTTTCTTAAATTACAAGAAACGAGACAAAACCATCTGAGATATTTTTAGTTTAATGTATTGATGAATGGAAATATAAAACCAAGTGGATTGAAATGAGTTATATTTAAATTGTATTTAGGAATTTTACTGCATGCTATTTTCTTTCAGATGCAATTGAATAAATACAAAAGGAAGAGATAAAGCCACATAAAAATTCAAACTAAAGCTGATTGAAAAATAAGGGGCTTATAAGAAAACACACTCTTGATACAAGGATTGCTCCTGTGTTCCATCAGAACTTTATTTTTTTTTTCAGGAAAAAGTTGTCACTGGCTGAAATCCAGAGTCAGCCATATAAAGAGGAAAGCCTAGCGCAACATTTGAAAAGAAACTTTCACGGTGAGCAACAAAAGCTTTGTCTTGAAATGAAACCTTATCTGGAAAGGTACAAAGCGCCAGCAAAGGCTTTGGGATGGGCAGGGCTGGCACACTGAGCAGGTGATCAGGGCATGGCATCAGGGTACGCCATAAACAGGCTGAAGGAAAACAGCCATCCTTTTCTAAACAGTAGAAATTCGAGAAAAGACCTCCAGACCCAGCCATATGGATCTCTACAGCTTGGGCACTGTTTTGAGGCTTAGAAAATTCACATGTGCTTTGTCTGTTATGTACAAAAAGAAAACATAAGACATAATGAAGGAAAGAGTGTGAAGCAAAAGCAGCACGTGCAATTATTTTCAGCTCTTGCACCATCATTTGAATCTCCCCAAATCTTGGGATTTTTCAGAGTGACGTAAAGAACTCTTTTGGCCTTCTGGCCTTACATCCTACCATATTCCTCATGGTGATGAAGGCTATAATGCTATTGATTCTGCATAATTACTAAATTATTCATGTGATCATATGCTTCCAATAGCTGAGTTTAAAAACAATCAAAATTAGATATGCTGATTGAATTAGGAGATTTGGAAGCACTGGGAACATGGCATGTGGGGGATGAACAGATACTGACAGGGCACAGCTGACCTGCTGGTTACGCATATGGAATAGAATTGAACAAAAAAGTAGGAAGGAATGAGTTTAAACATTAAAGAGAGGACAAAAAGACACATTAAAATGTGAACAATTTTTATTACACGTTTTCTAGTAATCCAACCTACTTTTAATGAACAGATACAGCAAATTGCTGACAATGTTCAATAAACTACAAATAACAATTTTTATGGCATTTAATAGCAGTCTTTTATAAAAGCAAGTAATTGTTGGTATGTTTTTGAGTACAGTCTTCATAATATTCAGGACAACACTCTTATAAAGCATTTTCTCATAGCTAAGAGCTATAATAAAATCTGTATAAGTATTGCTTATGCATGTGCAATTCTGAACTGTGATAAGCAGGATCAGATATCAAACTGAACTATGTTAATTCATATCCACTGAAGGTCTGATCTAGAAGAAACTATCCTCCCACCTTCAATGGATTCTCTATATTATTAATTTAATAATTGCATTTCAGCAGTCTAAGCACATGAGACTCTGTCAATGCACTTACGAAAACACAAGTCCTGTTCCAGGGGTCATGACAGCTGTGCACAAGGTTCTTTGCTATTTGGAATTTGAATAGTCCTACAGTTATTCAATTCTTGCAGATCTTTGATCTCTTTTTCACAGGATCCCAGGTTGCAGAAAACACTGAGTTCTGGTCTGGGTTCTCCATCCCATCTAAGCTCTGTCTTCTTTCAGTGTCTAGCAGAACAACCTGGCCTGATCTCCTCACCTACCTGAAACAACAACCAATACTTACCAAATACTACACTTATTTGCCTTTCATCTGTCAACATTTTTCTTCTGCTTGCTGAGACCTGTTTTACACCAGAGTCTTTCCCAGAGCTGTTTCTCTACCTCCCTCCAAAGCTGTCACCTTGCTCTGATTTCTCCCTGGGATTTTGTCATCGCGGATGTTCCCAGCCTCCTCCTCAGAAAGTCAGCACCCTCTCACACACCTTCCCTCTCCTTGCCTCCTCCCTCAGCTCCACAGGCCTTTCTCCAGGAGCAGCCACTTGCAGCTCCCTCACCTCATCCTCACCGTGTATGGTCAGGCTCTTGCCCCTCCTTCTCAAGAGGGTTTGCTATGGATTACATTATCCTTTAATTAAGCATCAAAGTATTACGAGTCACGTGAAAGACAGATATTATTTTGTGTCATAGACAATAGCTCAGTCAGCTGAATCCAGTACCATTTGGATTATGAATGGCACAATCATGAATACACTGTGGTATATGCTCCAATACTCATCTTTTTCCAAACCAAATATTGCTTGATTTCTGGTGTGATTCTTCAGGTAATGACATGCCAACTACACAAGGAGTGTGTTTGGTGTTTTCAAACCCCGGGATTTTTGCTCACCAAAATTTGTATTGTGGTCATGAAGATGGAGAGTGTCACTTAGAAAGACCGAGTTTTCATTGTCCTTTGTTTTGCTAACCACTACAAAATTTTAAGCTTTTCTGCAAAAAGAAAATTTACAGTGCCCATAGAATCAAAACGAGTGTGCTGCTGACTGAGCGAGCATTTGATCAATGCATCACAGAAAAGCTAAAGAGACAGGCCAAAGAAGAGGTATAACATTTTAAACCTAGGCAGTAACACTGTTATGCTTAATTTGTGAGGCACTATTTTATGTAACAGATCTTATTCCACTCTAGATGGATAACAACTGTGAATTGTAATTTTATTTTCCACTTAGTGGAGCCTATTGACTTGGACTAGATCTTGCCAGAGAACCAGTTTTGTCATAAAGGCAGTAAATTCTGTGCTCATTTTGTGTTTGTTTGATAATTAATAGTGCAGTGTTAGCAGCAGGACAAAATGCAAGTATGATTTTTTTTTTCCTCTGGAAGATATAAAAGATATAAGTCAATGACTTTATGCTGAGTATCTAAGGCACATATCTTTTACTAAAATGAGTTCAGCAGATTCAATGGAGGTTCTTTTCTGTTTGGGAAGGTATGTGTGCAAGGCACTCCCATTAACCAAGCATCCTTGGCCCCAGGCACAAATATACAGATAGTTATGCTGGCAACCATTTTTTCCCCCAGTGGAGACACGGTTTATAGCAACACTGATTTTCCCTTATTGCTATAACAGTGACAAAAATAGGTGTCCACGGGTGTCGGTATACATGCTAGTTATAAATATAATAAAAGAATTATATATTTGTTTGAAAAAAGAGGCACAGTAATAAAAATGCCATGTAAACTTGACACTACCTTTTTATCAGCATCTTCCTGTATTTACCAACGCTTAAAATAAAAACAATAGCCTTAGCCTTCACTAAGCTAGAGCCATAACTCTAACAGATGGCTGTGCCAGACAAGCTTTCAGCATAGACCAGACCTGAGCACCTCACAGCAAATTAACAACATGGGAACCCTCACGCCAACTCACCGAGATGAGCAAGTGAAATCCTGTGTGTAAGTGCGAAGCAGGGAGTAAAAGCTCAGTCTAGCCAAAGATCTGTGTGCTCAGAGAACACAAGTCTACCTCCTTTCAAGTAACTTACAGACATAAATGGAGGATTAGGCCCCAGTGATTTACTGAGATGCCAGAGGATGTTCATAGGCTCCACTGTGAGCACACATGCCTTCTGCTGGACCAAGTGAGCCTCCCAAGGACATCTGTAGCAGTCAGAAGGTAAGTGTCACAGTGTGACTTTCCTTTTAAGGTCAACTTCCAGCACAGATTCTGTAAACTGGATCTCTAAAATTAGTTCCATCAGCAAACTGTCATGCTAGTCCAACCATCCCCCAGTCTGAGATTTTCTGTATGTGCTATTTCAGAGTACTTGTGCCATCGCGACATGCTAAGTGCCTTTGCCATACAGTCATGTTTTTCTGATTATTCACAAAAGAACAAATAATTTGACAAATGGGAATTGTATGACCCATACTGTGAATAGCCAGTTGCCTTTCTTCAATGAAAATTTTATGACAAATTGGTATCTGCTGTTAAAGTGACAAATGCATCTTTGCCCTCTGTAGACCTTCCCACCTGTTACTCCATGGATGATCATGCCATTTACGTGCTGCTAACAAACTGAATGGTGTTTCACTTTCAGGGTGACCAGGCTTTGTCAGAAAATTAAGGTTGAATTTGTTATTCTAGTGAAAATTACAGCAGCACAATCATAGATCTTGTATTAAGGCTTGTGCTACTGCACATGTTGGCCTCCATCTCCCTTAAGGTGCAGTAAAGCAGAGACAGGACAATGCAGGGCCCCACTGAAAGAACCATACAGAGATGTTTTAACTTTGCAGCATTTCTAATCCTTCATCATCCTCCTAAGGTCTTACATCTCCTGTCCCTTCCTGCTCAGCCCTGTCACCCCAGGCTTGCTGCTCCCCCTCCTCTGGAGAAACAGTGACAACAGTATCCAGAAGGTTTCAGGTATACTTTTTTCTCTGATTCTGGTCACAGTGTAAGTCCACCCTATAATGTCTGGAAATTATTTGTGTGGTTATAATCTCACCTCCAAGATCATCCAGGCAACCAGGTTACTGCACCTGATTGGAGTTCACTGACTTCCAAGGGCATAAGATACCCAGGTGTTTTCTAAAATCTGCTGATATATGTAAGAGAGTGTCTGGGAAAGAAGTAGGTTAACGCAAGTCAGTGTATAATAAGAAGCTTTCTTTCCTATAAACAACTAGCTATCAGGTTGGAGAGATGGGGGAGAAGAGAAAAGGAGAAATGGGAGGGAGGCAGGCATGCAGGCAATCTTGGTGGTTTTCTTATTTATTTTAATCTTTTAAAAAAGAAAAAAACTTCAAAACAAAAGAAGAAAATACTTAGAAGGCAAGGTTTCCATAGGAAAAAAATATTTTATTTTTTAAGAACAAATTCAGTTTGAAACAGGCGTGGAATGTGATTTTCATAATTTCCATTTTCTGGGAACTAATTGCAGTGTGGAACTAAAGCAGATTTCAAACTTATGACCGGCTAGTTTTAATACAGAACAAAACAAACAAATAAAACAAAAAACAAACAAAACAAACAAACAAAAAAAAAAAAGGAAAGAAGAATATTTATAACTCAAGCATAATACTGTGTTACTTACAAACTGGACAAAGAAATTCTTAAATAAATATTCATGGTACACAATTTCAGCACAAATATGCGGCAATTTGGCAACCTTTTATATCATTTTTTCCTCAATACAGTGCAAAGGGGAATGACACTGCCTTTAAACAAGCTGTAGCTAAATACATTGCAAAATTCAAATTTTATACAAAACATCTTGCTCAGACTTTATAAAAAACCAACATTGCTCTATATACACAATCTGGTTAAGAAAAGCCTTTTTTGTCTTGTTTTCATGTGGTTTTTTTAATTATTTAAAAAGGTGAATAAGGCTACTGTAACACCCCAAATCCATATACAGTAAATCTGAACCTATTTACAGCATCTTCAGTTAGACATGATGGTGCAAATTCCAATTCAGGTGACTAGGGATGATCATACAAGCAAGGCATTTACAGTAATTTTTCAAAGCTGGACCAACGTCAAAGAAAGGAACAGTTGGTAGATTGTCATAATTCTGCACCAGACACAAAACAGACGCACAGTACATTTTTTTTCAGTTGGTTGCAGGTTGCTCTTGAGCAATTAATCTGATTATTTTTTTCACAGTTTAGTATGTAACTAGAATGTGGCCAACTGACAAAGCATAGACATAATTTAATAAAATTCAGTATCAGTAAACCCATCTTTTCCCTTCCTCCCCCTCCCCCAAAATAAAATCTTAATGACTTACAAGAGAACCTTGTATGGATGGATTCACAGAAAGGAAAGGTTGTTGAAAAGAATTACATATGTACTGTAGTTAGTCACCATGGTAACCTTCCACAGAACCATGGGTTGAGATTTTTTTTGTTTTTGTTTCTCTCTTTTGGACCAACATCTCAACATAATCCTCAGGTTCAGAAAACAAAGAGAGTGATCATTTCTATAACAGATTTTTTTCTTTTCTTTTTTTCTTTTTTTTCAGGGGCTCACTGGACGTCTGAGAACCCTAAAATGCTGTTGCTACATTTTCTTTCCAAATCAGAAAGCAAAGTGTTACCATAGTAACATGACTATGTTAGAAATGTCTATTTGCATAGCACATATAAAAGTAGAGTTTTTTTACTTCCTCCCCAGGGTGGGAGCTTTAGGGGAACAGCCATGCTAAAGAGAAAACTTTAACCTGAAACCTCCCTCTACGAACCTCAACAAAATCTACAGAACACATCAGCCTGTAAGGCAAGGGAAATCACAACACAGAAAATAAATGCCGGCAGACCTTGTCACTGTTAAATATGTGATGCAGTAACATTGACTTCTTGATATTTTGGGCCTTACATTTCCTAGTTTTCTCTTATAAGATGCTTTGGAATTTTTATTTTTTTAAATGTGCTTCCATTGTTATTTTTGGATGGCTGATTTTTTTTTTTTCCCAGAAGTAGTTTATTTTTTTTAAAAATGTGTGCGTATGCATAAATATATATGCATATGTATGCATATATAAATATATATATGTGTGTATATACTTATATACACACACATTTATATACGTAAAATGATAAGAAGTTAAGACTATGTAATTGCCGCAAATGAATTTCACATCTTCTGGTGTAGATTCTGTGCAATCTCAAAATATATATTAGTAAAAAAACCAAACCAAAATAAAAAGTAAGAAAAAATGAACGAAAGAAAAAAATCTCACTTTATATCCCTTGTGTTCTATACACCTATTATAAATAAGACATATTTTCCTTCTCCATCTCAGTGTCATAATTTATTTTATTCTTATGGACTGAAAGAGGTTTGCCATATGTGCTTTCACTTTGCAACAGAGCACCAATGAACGGCTGTGTCAGTCACAGTACCTACACTCACTGTGCAGGGACAGCACAACAATAAGCCAAAGTGCCAAAAGGGTCAGTCAGAAAGAAATTCTGCCTTACTTTTAGAGATGAGAAAGGTTTTGTGGTTTGTTGCCTTTTTTTTTTCTTTTCCACAACTTCACCAGTGATAGAATTAGCTCATTTGACCCGTTGGCTTATAATCTTCTTGGTCAGACTTGGCTCTCTGCTATTTTCTTAAACGCTTTCCCTGTGTTTACTATAATCTGATAGTATAGCAGCTGAGTCTGCTTAAAAGTCACCCAAAGCAGACTGTGTTTTCCCTACAGCTTCAAAGCTGTGTATCTTATTGCCAGTACCACATCAGCCCTGCCCTAATATAATCCTCAGCGGCCTGCTATTGTCTTGTCTTCTCCAAGCTTGTTCACTTACTAACAATACCCCTCTGTTCTACTGTATCGAAGGTTCTATTTTTTTCTGCACACTGGTATTTGATAACCAAGAATTCCTTCAAATGCAGCCTTAATCCACTGTGCATGTTATTGTGTTTCCTACCTGCCTCTTAAAACTTAGCATACCAAAGTGCTGTGCTACCTAAATGTATTGTTTTTTACTTCCCAGCTTCTATTTTTGAGGCAGCAATATTCAACTGCAATCAGCCCTTCCCTCCACCACCCAGTCCTGCTCTTGACTTTGTTGACAGCCTAACTATTTGGCTGGAAGGCTCCTTACTATCAAACACAATTTTTATAAATGCATTACCCATTCGAGTGAGGCTGCTGTAGCAGATGGATGGAGTGCGGATCTCCAAACATTAATGTTCCATTAGTGATTCAGGAGGTGGAGTGAAAGGAAATCTTATGTGAAGGATGGCAGAGCCCTGGATAACAGAAACAAATGGAACAGTGACGGACTAAAAGCGAGAGAACTTTAACAAGTCTTACTTAGACACCAAGGTCTGTGTGACAAATCCAGTATGCACTGAGAGAGACACACAAAAGTCAGAAGATTGCATTTCAAGGTTGATATATCCTAGAGCACCTTCCCAGGATGCCTAGAGCTATTAACATCCACGGATTGCTCCATCTTCCCTTGGCTTTTGTACATGCCTGAACGCCCGCAGCACATGGCTTTGAGGATGATGAATGTAACAAGAGTACAGCAATCAGAATGGGCATCTTCTACATAAAAGTCTTCCAGCTTTTAGTGAATACTTATTCACTGAGATAGGAATTCTACAGACTAGGTAAGCTGTCCAGCTCGCGTTGGTTCCTGGAGAAAGAGCTGTTGCTTTCTCCCCCCTGTGCTTAAGTCAATGCTAGCGCACCAGGCATCATCACAAACCCCAACAGAAAGCATTTGACCAGTGAGTTTCCTCTACGACTCAACTGTACCACAGAGATGGTTGTGTGTTTTCAGACCTTGTAATAAATGTTTGCTGGACTCTGAGGAGGCATCTCTTGAACTATGTACACTGGATGTCCATAGTCGCCGCTGACCTTTTCATAGTGGGGGCAAAAGACACTGTCTGCAGTCCTTAGAGGAATGATAATGTCACTGGGCTCAGAACCATTGTTGTTGCCACTGCGTTTTGGGGTGGCTAATGTACTAAGTGATAGAGTTGTCGTGTGTTGCGGGGAATGCTTCCTGTGTCTTCTCCGGTACTTCAACAAAAGAACCACCAAAGTGATGATGATGACGATGAAAATGATGCACCCTGATGCAATCCCTGCAAATAAGGCCACCTCTGAACCCAGTATACTGGAATGCCCAGCCTTACTGCCATCTGTGCTAGATCCTGGAAAGAATGGAAATACAACAGACAAAAGTTATTGCCATCCTGCAACCCGTTTACGTTGCTTAAAAATGTGTAGAGTAAGCAACACTAGAAGAATCAACTGACAGCTAAAGTTTGACAAACCAATTACCCTGTTAGATAGCTAAATGCAAACAGCCAAAGTCAGCAATCAATATTAAACAAGACTTTGTGTCTGTTGGTCTCACTTTTGTGCTGCTCCCAAACCACTCTGTTCCATACATCATCATCCATCAGCGGTGAGGACTGGCACTGACAAGGCAGCCTTTGATGCACACTGCATCTTTTAACAGATGCTGGCCAGCCCCGGGCACAAGAGAGGGGTGGGATAGGACTGGAATTGAATATAACACAAGGAAATGACAATTTGGTGCCATCACACCACCATATTATTTGTCACAAAAATTAAACAAGTGCTTACTTGACACTTTCTCTCTTGAAAGTTTGAACCAATTTCCCTCTCTTGATGCTCACTCACAATGGAAGACTGATACAGATGCTACATTCACATAATTGTTAAATCTTCCTACCAGAGCCTCTGTAGGAATCAGCAAAGCCTACTTAGTGACCACTCCATCAAAGATTCATTAGCCCAGCAACTAATGACAGAGCTAGCAAGGAAAACTTGCAGCCTTTTTCAGGAAACCCAGAACCATCTATCAGCAAGTTTTGCTTTTGTAGCATTCCCAATTCACTGAATTTTCTTCTGGACACCTTCAGTCCTAAGAGTTAGGTTTTTTTCTTGTTCACCTAACAAATGCAATGCATTCTGAAGGTATTTGTTTGGAATCATGTGTTTATTTTGTTTAGATAATTATTAGAAAAAAATAAATCTTTGCATTTAGTAAAAGACCAGCCATGTGTAGACTTTATATGGTCAGCTAAAAGATCAGGATATTAATTATAGATGCCTTGAAATAAACTTCATAAATGGCTGTCGAGAACCACTTGATAATGTATTATACGGGAAGAGAAAGATAGAGACTCGTTCATCTGCCACAGTACTAGATGTAAGGCAGCACTGACCGCTGTAAAGCTGCTTAGCAAACATCCTATCCAAAAACTTTCCTGTAAATGAGTGATATTGTCACTAGATATAATGAACTTCTACAGGAGAGTGGAAGAGGGGCCAGAGCGGCTGTTGCCAAAACTTGCAGCTCCAAGACACTATCAACTGGAGCATCAGAACTGGTTTATGCTTCATCTCACTATGAAAATGTTTGCTTTTCTGGCACTTTAATGGTAAAGTAAAATGCATTTGGGGACAAGGAGGAGACATCCTGGAGTCCCACCACACCTACCTGAGTGGTCCTTCACAAAAGGGCTGGTGGTGGAACTCTTCCCATTGGTGCCAGCTTCCTGCTCAGGGCGCTTGGTGGGATCCGTGTGCCGGGGCAGCCCTGCCGAGTTGGGATCTGGGGGAGAGAAAGACGACTCATGCAGCTTTGGCACTTGATGGTATGGAGCCTTACATGCCAGCTCTAAGTACCTCGTGAGACACAAATGGTTTAGCAGAAGAATCTTTATGCAAAGGACAGGAAGATACAACAACATAATTTTCCTTTTAAAACAAAATGGTTATATTAAGTTATTTCAGATGTTTAAATTGTGAGGCCATCTGCAGAAACTATAAGGACTCCTGTGACTGGTAAGAAAAGCTTTGCAGATGACATTTCAGTTTCACTGAGGAAGTTGACTGACTACTAAACCAACTTCTGCTTAGAAGAATAATTCTTTCTTCCTGCACAATAGGTTGTCTATATGTGAAAAGAGACAATGAACAAAAACCTCTCTGTAATCAGAATTCATAACAAGCAAACTATAGAAATATTAGCTTCCCTCTTTTCATGTATTTTAAATAATTTTGAGCAGCAGAGTTGTGGCTTTTGTTTTTAAAATACAAATAAAAATGACTGAAACACACTACTCCCAGGTGACCTTTCCTTCTAGGGATCTCTGCAATGAAGAGATCTTATTACGCTAACCATCCTTCTGTAGAAATCTGTCAGTAGCTGAGGAAGAGAAAACAGACTTTGCTTTCAGACTATAAGGGAGGAATGACCACACTAGACTTGACTGGCTCTCTGCTCTACACTGCTAAAAGAAGCCTGAAAGCTAAAAAGGACATTGAGACCAATCAAAGTCATTTCATGAAACAGCAGATGGTCTTTACCTTGTCCAACTTTCATGAGGATCTTCATGGTTTTTGTCTGGCACACCCCTCCCTCCTGGTTATCCAGGCCCTCCAAAGACCCATTTGATGTTGCTGATTAAAAATAAAAGAAAAATAAATAAAAATAAAAATAAATAAAAACCAGGAAATCAACAGGCAAAGTGATGTGAACATGAGTGTCTGAAAGCAGGGATCTTTCAATCTACCAGGATCTGTTCTTGTTGCTTGGGTTGACCTATGGAAAGTTGTGAAATGTTGAAAGCCAAAGGAATGAATACATTGGTAAGCTGTACAATATATACAAATGGAGGAATGTGTTATCACTGTTTCAAATTTACCCAGCAACCTTTTTTTCCTATGCACAATTGATTGACTGACTTGGATAAAAACACAGTGCCTTGCTAATAGGTGATGGAGTCAGCTGAAAAGGAAGCTCTGGCAGGCTCAGAGAAGGAAAGCACTGAAAAATCACTCTTTCCTCCCCCAACCCCAACAATATCTTTATAATCATTATATTACACCTGCTTCCTCTATTACAAATCTCCTGCTGGATGAAGTGAATGCATACAAAAGACCCAGGTGAAAGCTAAGATTCTGAACTGATTGGAAAACCGTTTAATATTTTAAAGCACAATCTCATTTTTCTCAGCATTGAGGAGCCTCTGCCAGGATAGGTGCCAGAGGGGAATACGCTCCAGTCTCACGGAAACCTTTTAGCTCATATGAACAATAGGGTGCTTTCCCCTGTGTTTGTATCATTCTTGCTTATCTAGGTGCTGGTTGGAACCACGCAACCCTGGCACAAGCCGACACTGCCATATGATTTGAGCACGAAGCACCACTCCCTTGGAGAACCCAAAACACTGAATCATGGTCTATGGGTGCACCACTGCTGCCCAAGCCAGCTGTTGGTTGCAAAACAGCTGCTGGAAAATGATTTGGCAGCTCCTCAGCAGTCGGCAGGGTGGCGACTCTGCACTGTGCTGGGCACTTGCCACCGTCGGCATGTGCGGGGGTGCCCTGGGCACGGGGGCAAAGAGGGCACAATTGCACACGGTGGGCTCTGGCTTTGCTATGCAGGGAATGTACCAGAGGTTTTCCTGTCCTGATTGTTCTGAGGATGGAAATTTCACCATTATTTCTTGGAGCTGTTTATCCAAGGCCCAAAATAGATATATGAGAGGGTGCATGCATGGGCATCAGCACTGGGCCACCAACTGGAGAAAACAAACGAAAAATGGGTTGTAAGGGAGCTCACTGCTTGTCATGGCTGTGGTGAAATGCTTAAGCAGCACATGCCTGCTTCTGCCCCTCTCCTTTCAGCTCATGGGCTTTACACTGTGCAGGTCCTTGTTTTTAATTCTCATTCCTTCTCTTTCACCTTCCTTGGGGATTTTCTTTCAAATGTAGTCTATGTATATTTCCTTTTTCTTCCACAATGTCTTCCTAGCCCCATGGCAGTATTTTTCCTGCTCTAATCTTCTCTCTAGCCATAAAGATATAAACCCCATACCGCTGAACCCTGCTTCCTAGCCTTTCATCTACTTCTTGTTTTTGTTCCACTTCTGACTCTTTTGTCACCAACTCGAATTACAGCCACCATACAAACTTCCCAAATTGTGCTTTCTTTTCCTAAAATTCCCTTCTCCTCATATGTGGCCCCTCCCAGTTCCTCCTCTTGTTCCCTCCCCCCTGTAAGAACATGACAACAGACGTATGGCAAAAACACTTTTTAAAATACAAAAGAGCACATTGAGTTATTTAAGATAAAAGCTGATCTGAAATTTGCCACTGCATTGCCAGGCTCAGAAAATAATGGAGACATATAGTTTTGTTTTCTTTTGTTTTTGTTTTTTTTTTTTTCCAGAGGGGAAAAAAATCAATACCAAGAACCCATCCTGGACATAAATCAAATGTGTCTTTGCTGAAAGTGTTTTTTATGATCTATTTTCCAATGTACCAGCACAAGGACAAGGAGAAAAAAAGCAGTAAATAGAAATACCAAAGCTGAGCATCAACTGAACCTACAAGTAATAAACACTGACTTTGTCTTGTGTTTTTTTGTTATTTGATTTTTTTTTTAATCGAGGCAATGGGGATTCACATCTCCTTAAATACCTTCTACTCGATTTTCATTGAATAAAGTGCTGCTTCTTCTGAACATCAATGCCTTTTTATTCTTTAAAGGCCTATCCATTTAACCCACAGAGCAGGAGACCTCAATAAGATGCAGACGATGCAGTCTGACCTCAGTACAGAATAAGAAAGTAAGATGGCAAAAAGAATGCAAAATTACTTCAAATACAGTCTCCAAACGGGAAGACTCAGATGTACAATGAGTCTGGTTGTGTGCCTACGCCAGCGCAATCTGCCTCGCTTGCTTGCTAAAAGAATGCTTTCATAGCTTTGATGTCAGATGAATGAATTTGTAGAAGTATTCACTTTTTCCACAGTTCTTCAAGGGATTTTAGGAAAGCCTACGTTACAGCTCAGAGTACGGACTGCTACATCCTGAGGAATGGGGAATTTTCAAAGAGGAGTATTTCAGTGACAAAGCAAAGTTTCCATCTCAGCTTCTCCCTGTAATTAAACCGACAATTACCCAAGGCCACTGGAGGAAATTATTTTTCAAAATTCATTAAGACTATCGAAATATAACCTTGCATATCCCTAGTGTATCAGGAAGAAAGTGGGTAGCTTTAAACACATCATTTCAAGCTTTGAAAAGCTGCACAGAGAAAAAAGAAGTAATCTGGGACAGCAGAGAAAACACAGTTTCATACTGCTAATGCCCCTTGACAGTGTAGTGTGCAGAAGTCAAACAAGGGAGCAAATACAAAATATTCCTCAAACACTTGCTGCGGCCTTTCTGTATCGATCTCCAAATGAAAACTACACCACTATCATGTTAGCTCTGCCACTGCATTCACACCTCTGTAGGAAAGTGACCCTTTACCTGTAGCTCTGCTCACACTGAAAGGATATTTAAAAAAGAAAAATAATAAAGTGGCCGTGATAGGAGTTTTGGGTATAAACACAGAAACATAACACAAGCTTCTTCTGTCTAAAATGGAAATTATACTCTCCAGTGTGTTTATATAATCAAATTTTAAACCTTCCATTCAGTTTATTTTTATATATGGTCTGGGTTTTTTTTTATATATACGTCTAAATATGGACATATTTTAGAGTCAATTTCTTACACATGACCCTCTGATAAGACTAGATACTACTTAAATATTAACATTAATAAAGATAACTAATGATTAATATGAAGTTTCTCATTAGTCTTAAATGTTCTCAGAATTCCACACTCCACTTTGTATTAATACAGCAATACATAGGAACCTAAAAGTAAGTAAAATGTTGCTAAACAGGTAGCAAAATATTTTTAAATCTCTTGATGGTTAGATACCTCTGGTTTTCTGAGACCTGTCCCTTTCCACTGATGTCAATTGCAAAACTAATAATTACAGTCAAAGGCATATTAAATTATTCAGTCAACAGTTAATCTTCACCAGTAAATAAGCATATATAATTGCACTAAAAATTTTAAGACTAACAAAATTGTAATAACTTATAGGCATTTTTAGTAGTAGTTTTTCAGACACTGTGTGTCTGCATTCCTTGAATACAACGGCAGCTGCCATTTCATGAAGAATGCAAGTTTAGGTTTTCAACATTCAGAAAACACTCATCTGTTATGAAATTATGGTTAAGAGTCTGCTGATACATACTTAACTTTGGAGAAGCTAGTCTACATTTTCAGTTTTGCAAAACACCGCCTTAACATATCCTCTCCCATACACAAGGGAGAAATGAAATTATTCAGATCAAAAAACTTCATTCAGATCTGCCTGCGCTTCTTTGAAATATATGCATTATATAAAACCAAACAAAACCCCCAACAAAACCAACAAAGAAACAAACAAACAAAAAAGCCTGGAACTCATGTAAATGTTTTACATTTATTTGCTTTTAAAACTCCACAGTGCTGTTTATTGTATGAAATGCATTAGTCATAAATGCAGAGGCAGGGAATCCGTGAACGAAGCAGAGTCAGCTGACAAGAACAGTTTCTGGCTATGATTCTTATACAGTCCCCATGGAGAGGAAGTAATATTACATTTTAATATGTCTTCATTTGATTGTTATTACTCTGCCCCCCAGGAGGCTGAGCCACTGCATGGATCATGGCTGTTTTCAACCTATCAGGTTGGTAACATTGCTCTAATCAGATGGAGAATTAAGCTGCTGGATTTATGCCTGTATATAGCTTTTCATTCACAAAGAGATTAAAAATGAAGGCACAGTCACAAAAATTCAACTTCCCTCACTCCTAAAAACACATATTACAAAATGAAAAAATGCTATCACAATTACTTAAAAGAAAACACCAGCAGACAAAAATCTCAGCCTCTTAATTCTGCTACAATTACTACCTATAGTTTCATGGTTTAGGATGATGAAAAATACTACCTGTTTGCAAATCAAATGCAATATCCTTTGAACTGACACAACTTTAAAATACATGTATTTCTAGAGCTTGAATATAAAATGTACTACATAGCTGATGAGAGAAATGATGACTGTCGTACTCAATTTTCCTGTGAAAACTAAATGGACCTTAAACCACAGACTGTGGGAATGAATGAGTGATGTCAACTGATGGGCAAGGACAAAACTGGTTTTGTTCCTCCTTAGTGTGCTGGACAATAAAAGTCATTTGGCAATATATCAAAGATACATTATTGATGAGGTCATCAAAAATTAATTGCTGCTGATGTGGATCTGTTAATAGCAAATTGAGAACTACAGGTTTCTTTGGGGTGGATCAGTACTATCCAATAGCAGTGATTTTCAACATTTTTTTCATTAAATACTGTTCAAATTCTGCAGCAGAAAATAGGTTTCTCAAAATCAGAACAAAATAAAATCAAATAACACCACCCATCGCCACTTTCCCCCTGCTGTGCTTATAGACGAAATGGAAAAGCCTAAACAGCAGCAAAAATCCACACAAGCTTTAGATCCAACATTAGTAAGAAGTTATTCTTAAAGCAAAGTTGCACTTGATCTCACATGCACTCTCA